GTTCAAGCTCAGAAAGTTATTTAGGTGTTTCTTATAGTCACCATGTGTCGAGGGGAAGGAGAGAGTTATTTTTACCACAACGGGCATGAGGACGGAAATCTTGAGCGTGCTGGCACTGGGTCTTCAAAAAACAAAAACAAAACACGGTATAATGAGTTGTTTTCCACCATGTTACATGATTCCCGGCCCGCCTCCTGCCCCCCCCAACCCAGCTTACCAAAATGATGGTCTTCAGAGCCCATGGCCATTATTCCTTCTCTGTCTCCCCTGCAATTGAGTTCCTGAAATAAATATAGAGCCTGAGTATCAATTAAGAATAATGAGACTCTGCCGGGGAAACATCCTTGCATGTAATAAAAAGGTGTGGGTTAATTGCCGAAGCAGGGGTTGGCCTCCCCTCCCCCCAATTTTGCTTCGCTTTGATTGGTGGATTGGCACTTTAAATAAAGGTTTCAGGTCTTCTCTGAATGAGAGATACAGCGCAAGTCCCAGGCACAGTCCAGAAAAAAGTTAAATCTTCTTGTTCTTAGCCATCTCTTGGTTGGCATCAGCAGGCCCTGCGAGCACAGTGCATGTCAGCATTAAAGGTAAAACGTGATTTTATGATTTACATGTGCTTCCTGTACATTCTTTTTCCAGGCAGCTTTCATCAAGAGGGTTTATCTTCAATGATCACCAAAAGCTGAATAATAGGTTATTGTAAATCATTTGCATGTTCCAGAGTAGATATGCCTAATAACTTTCCACGTAGGAAAAAAGAATGCTTATCTATAGACTTTTTTTTACTACTTATAATTATTAGTGGCAGGGGCTAATTTAGAAAATTGCTATAAGAAAGTTATTCTCTTAGTCAGATATTTATGAATGTAAGAATAAAGAACCCTTGAGCTCACAGATTAAAGTTAGGAAGCCAATCCATTTTGGAAATGTAAGGAAAATCCATACTGAAACAGATTTCCACTACCAAAGGAAATGAACACAGTCAACTTATTCTTAGAAGATTGATTTTGGGCATGCTTGCCTGGGTAGACAGTAGACAGAATAATATACCCCATGTGCCAGCAAAGACAAGTTGGTTATAAAATGATTGTTGGCTGTGTTACATAATGCACATCAACATTTGCTCTGGAGGAAAAACGAAGTATAAACTCCTGTGAACGATATGCAATTGACCAATACTTCAGTTAGAGTGAGGGCTTTTAAAATTTATACTTCCTTTTACCAGTTAAGACATGGTCTTTAAGCATAATATGTGAAATAATAGCAACTCAAAAGATTAGACGAGAAACGCAGGGGCAGTGAATTTATGGGAAGGGTGGTGGGAGAGTTGGTTGCACAATGTAAAGAATGCAATCAACATCATTGATACCTGCATCTAGAAATTACGGAAGGGCTGTAGACTGCACTATGTATAGTTTCACCCAAAATTAAATAAATAAAGACTGCGCGTGGACGTTGTTTCCATCTATTTATTTAGGTTGTAGCTCTATAAATAACAGGCTGAGTTATTTGTAATGGCTTATGAACTCATCGATGTCATTCCAGATGGAAAGGTAAATTCAGTAGTAATAAAATTAAATGAGCTGTGTAGCAACAGTTAGATTTTTATTGTTAACCTGGTTGTTTGAGGAAGAGCAAATATTCAGGCTCATTTGAGATACTCTTTCAGTCATCTGATGTACTTCTCCAATCCAATTCTGTTGTAGATCCCACTTTTCAAAATGAAGGACCTAATACTGACCATGTGCGTCTTAGGAGTGAGTTTTGCAGTGCCGGTAAGTCCGAGTTTTCTAGAACGCACGCTAGCCGAGGACCCAGGGTGTTGGGAGCCAGACCATCTTGGTGGGACTTTGGCTAAGAGAGTCGATATCAAGCCCCGGCAATGGAGCCAGTGTCTTGTTCCTCCTAGCGCAGGTCGGCTGGGGTGGGAGTGATTCAAGGTGGTTCAGTGTGGGCCTGCGAGTGACAAAGTTGGCAGTTTAAACCCACCAGCCACTTCATGGGAAAAAACTAAGCTGTCAGATCCCATAAAGATGTAAAACCTCAGAAACCCTATGGAGTAGTTCTACTCTCTATACTGTATCCATATAGACTGGTCACTGAGTCAGAATCAACTCAACAGCAGTGAGGTAGGTTAGAGCCTTTTGAATCCAAATGTCTTTTTTTTTTTATGAGTAGTAACCAATTTTTTTTAATCGTTTTATTAGGGGCTCATACAACTCTTATCACAATCCATACATACATCAATTGTGTAAAGCACTTTTGTACATTTATTGCCC